GAATACAGTGGTGTATTCTATTTGTCAAATGTACTGAAATGTCTTCAATTAATTATACTTTAAACCACTCTCAAATTCTTGAAACATATCTCAGTATCTTTAGCCTCAGTTCTCTTTTTTTCTATAAGTTTCTATAAGTTTCTTGCAAATACTGCTCACAACTTCCATATAAACCAAAGTGTATTGTAGCCAAAAAGCATTTTCTGTTACAGGTAGTCCTCAATTACGATCACAATTGAGCCTGGAATTTGGTCAGAAGTCATTGTGGTCATTAAGCAAGATACCCACATGACTACCTTGCTCAATGACCACAATCCCAGTTCTCTTCATTGTGGTCATTAAGTGATAAAGGTTATTAAGAAGCCCTGCCGGGATGCCTCAAGTGCTAGTGGATGCCTTGAGAGCACTGCCCCCTCCCCTAGCATGTGGAAACTTTTTGTGGGCTACACAGAGCTTTTCAACCTTTTCACCCATTGTACCACTTTTAGGATATAGCAACATCCGAGTACCACCAGTTGCCTAGCAAGGGGTCAAAACCTTGATGATAAAAAAAAGGAAAAAAGTGATAAAGTACAGGTAGTCCTCGACTCACAACACTTTGCTTAGTGACTGTTCGAAGTTACAATGGCACTAAAAAAATGCCCCCCAAACCACAGCCAAGCAAGATACCTGCCTGCCCATCTGGCGGTGATCTTCCTCCTGTCCGAGGTTTTCATTGTTGTGAGCATTTCTGTTCAGGATTGGCAGCAGGGTTAGGGTGGGGGGTGTTTGGTTTTTATTTCCCCCATCTGCTGGGTGGTTGCAGCTGGTTTTGGTCACTTCACATGACCCTGGGACACTGTGACCGTCATAAATATGAATCAGTTGCCAAGCATCTAAATGTAAATCACAAGACCCTGGAGATGCTGCAACATTTCAGCTGATCGGCGCTTCTTCTGGGCTCAGCAGAAGCGCCAGGATCAGTTCCGAGCTCCAGCTGGAGTCTGGCGCTGATCCTGGCGCTTCCGCTAAGCCCTGACAGCCCTGCAGCTCCAGCCATCTCTCGCTCAGGCTTGTGCGGTGCTGCGCGGGTTCAGCTCATTCCCCGCTACTTTTCTAGGATGGTCGCGTACCACCTGCCAGGTGCCAATGTACCACAGGTGGTACCCGTACCACTGGTTGAAAGGCCCTGGGCTAGAAGGCATTGTTTGGTTAGCCCAGGCGGGCCTCTTCCCTCACTCCCAGAAACATGCTGGTCTCCTGCCTCCCCACCACCCCCAACAAAGTCTTTCTCCCTCTACCCTGCACTCCTGGAAAGCCTCAAGAAGCTAGGTCCAGGGTTGCTGCTTTCCCGTGACAAGATATGAATCTTCCCCAATTTCTTTTAATTTAACATTCAGAATACAACCGTCATGATCCAATTTGGAGTAGCTTTTGCAGTTTAGTTTTACTGGTTCCACTCCCGATTCCATGATTGAAAAGTTTATTGTATTAGTCTGGTATAAGGATCAAATAAACTGATTATAAAGATAAAATAAACAAACCAAACCATTACAACAAAAACCTGGAGGATGACATTAAAAATTACAAATGTCCTGCTTTATTGAAAATGTTAATGTTTCAATAAGGCAAGATACTTCAAATAAATCATGAACATCAGTACTAATTTCAGTGTAAAGAATATAGCTCCTACAGGCATGGTGCCATTAATGGTACAGATGTAGCGATATGTCCATAAAACCAATGTACAATATTTTAGATGTTATAATTGTAGTCTACATCAAACTATTAGTTTGTGCACATCTCTATATCTCAGAATCGCATGACCTGGGCAGATAACATTTATCTTTTTGTTGTGATTTTCTATCATCTTGCAACAGTGAGATGTTTACCTTTTCTCAAATATATTGACAAACTGATTGCATATTTTTCATTTCATCCCGACTCAGAACTTATCTGGATTCTGATGTGCTAGCAGTTGCAGTGTTGAGTCCATCGTGATTTGCTGAGCTTCCAATTTAATTACCCTTCTTCAAACAGAGCTCAGTACATTCCAGGTGTGCAGATTTCATCTCCTGTTCTGCCAGCCTGGCAATTGCTAAGAATTGAAATCCACAAATATGAAGGGCATTCGGGTTTGGAAACAGTTTGTTAATTCTAGTTTTAATTGTTAAATGGGTAAAATTGGGTTGATGGAAGCAATATTCTGTAGATTTTCTGCCTCATATAATCCCCCTAATTCCACCAAAATGATGTGCATAAACTCAAAGGGTTGCACTCATAAGGAATGACAGGATGGGAAAAGGAATGATACTCTTAACTTTCGAGAATCTTGTGTTTCTTTTATTCTGCCTTGAATTGGAGGCATTTTAGCTTCAGGGGCACAGTTTCGGTGTATGCTATTTGTCTTTAGAATAGTTTAATATTTCTTCTCATAATTCTTCAATGATTAATTCAGTGATTCCCAAACTTTTTCCTTCATTATCCAAAACTGCTTATCAGAAAGTCTTTATAAAATTTCGAGGACTAGTCGTAAGTTCCTTCCCTCAGCATTATTGTAACTTAGAATAGTTACTGAATGATTGTTCCATGTTAGATCAACAGAAGCCAAAAATAGGCACAGATTTTTTTTATTATTATTAACATCTGGTGCTGTTCCAACTACTTTAGTAGCATAAGAACCGAAGTTTTTTCAACACCATTTCCATGTCTAACCCTGCCAGCTCTGTGAAGAACTCTCTTACTGTGTTTCCCGGAAAATAAGACCTATTCCGAAAATAAGGCCTAGCTTGATTTTGGCCAGGGGGGAGGGAGGGGGGCCTAATATAAGCCCTACCCCAAAAATAAGCCCTAGTTTTGGGGCGAGGCACACACCCAAAAATCAAGCTAGAGGGGGTGGAGCTGCCCCATACGCCCCACACCTGCTGACCTTAGGACTGCTGCAGCCAGGCCTACCACACCCCAACACCTGTTGCACTGCTGCTTGTACCCGCATGCCATGTGGTGCATTGCGCTGTAACTACTCGTGGCGCGAGGCTTGTTGCACCAATTGCACCGCTGCCACCGCTCACAGGCCACATGGCTCGTCACACCGATTGGCACAATGAGCTTTGTGGTGTGAGTAGCGGTAGCAGCACAATGAGCCTTATGCCACAAGCGGCTGCAGTGGCGCAATGTACCATGTGGCATACGGCTGCAAGTGGCCGCAGAACTTGGGAAGCAGTGCAACAGGTGTCGGGGCGTGGGAGGCCTGGCTGCGGTGGTCCTAAAGTAAGACATTCCCAGAAAATAAGACCTGGTGCCTCTTTTGGAGGCAAAAAAAAAAAAGAGGAGGAAACACAGTAGGCAGCAATATTGTCAGTATACAGAACCTTTGTCTACATGTATCAATTTAGCTTCACAGAAATAGAGCTTAGAAAAGATTATTTTGGCTGGTTTAATTTATTATCTGAAAATATGGCATCATGTATTGATTAAAGGGATTTGGTTTTTTTATTAATAGTGGTATGTTATAGTATGTGGTTTCTTAGGTGGGGCAAGATCCAGTCTCTTCTGCCTTCTTGGGTATTTTAAACTTTTACCAGGCCCCATCTGCACCCTCCCCCACAATAGTGGCAGTCACTGTTTTAGTGGCATTCATTAGTCTCTCAGATTTCCAAATATGCTATATAACTCCCCAAGGTTACAGGGTCAGAGAAGGTGGAACAGAAAAAAAAACCATATGAGCACACAACCTCATTACCTGAAACTATTCAAGGTAACTTCAAAAGAAAGGATAGTGTATCCTATCTATTTTATTTCATGTTTTCACAAATTATTTGTTAATAGATGAACACTATAATATTTTGCAGTGATACTGCCATTTGGCATTGAAGGTTCCAATCTCAAAACCTCAAACATCCTGCTACAAAACTTGGCACAGAAACCTCTTTCCTGTTTCTAAGAAGAATGCAGATTCTGTGTTGTAAATGTGGTGATTCCCTTTCTAAGTGTGGCTGATGTCAAATGCTATGAGATTTGAATGCACTGGCCTTAAGGATAGAAAATTGTTTTCTCAGACCAGAGCTCTTTGATCAACTTTTAAAAAAACTCAATACAGGTAGTCCTCAACTTACAAAAGTTCATTTAGTGAACATTCAAAGTTACAATAGCACTAAAAAAAGTGACTTATGAACATTTTTCAGTTATAATTTTTGCAGCATCCCCATGATCATGTGATCAAAATTCAGATGCTTGGCAACTGGTACATATTTATGACTGTTGCTATGTCCCAAGGTCATGTGATTACTTTTTGTGACCTTCTGACAAGCAAAGTCAATGGGGAAGCCAGATTCACTTAACAACCAAGTTACTGACTTATCAATTGCAGTTATTCACTTAATAAGTGAAGCAAGAAAAGTCGTAAAATGGGGCAAACTTCACTTAACAAATGTCTCACTTAACAACTGAAATTTTGGGCTCAATTGTGTTCATAAATTGAGGACTATCTGTAGACTCCAACCTTTCCAGTTTGGCGGACCGGCGGGGGGGAAGAGGGATGGTTCTGTGTGAGTGGCAGGCACGCAGGTGTGCAGCTCCATTTGCACAAGTGAGGGCGCGTGCCTACCGCTCCCGCAAGTGCAGCTTTGCAAGTGTGCCCACCTGCCCGCTGCTCATGCAAGTGGAGCTGCGTGCATGTGTGCACTCACCTGCCCCTTGCACGGCCTGGTTCAGAAGGGGCCACAGCCTGGTAATGGGCCACACCCCAGGGGGTGGGGACACCTGATATAATACACTCCATTCTACCAGGAAGTCACCAATAAACCTAGAAAAGAGATATGTTACTGAAGATATAACATAAATGAGCAGAAATGGAAATACTAGCAGCACAACAAAACAGGTTTGACCAAATTTAAACCAGAATGGATTCCATAGATATTGTATATTATGTCGTAAGATAAATTTAAGCATTTAATGTGTGGTGTTTAAGAATAAGAAAATGACTAAGGAACTACAAATATAATTTATTTATTTTTAATAAATATTGTACATCAGTTAGAGAACAACTAAGGAGATATTAAAAACTAAATATTTATCTATAATGTTTTTAGTAGTTTTTCTCCATTTTTATCTTTAAACAACAGAACAGTGAAGATTTTAGCATTCAGCTCAGAAATTCAATAATATTTTTTTAAATTATTTTCTTCATTGTTACAAATAATGCATTTTGGCTTTTAACTTCTCATCAATGATATATTGCGTATCAACTGCACAACGTTTGGAACTTCTTTGTCCATTTACTGGTATAATATCTTAGTATTTTTAAAAAAATCAGTTTCTTCTTTTATCTCTTTTTTTTAAAAAAATAAAAAAATAAAAAAACCTTGACATTTATCGTTTACAATGAAACAGTTTAGGGAGGGTGGTTGAACAACTGCCCTTCATGTTAAGTGTGCTAAAGCAATATACTGCAGAATGGTTCATTATAAAAATTATTTGAGAAGTCCTAGGTTCATGACGCTAGGAAGTCCTAGCATGGAATCAAGACGCAGTTTGTCAATAGAAATTCTTTGACATTGAATTATCAGCTTCACAGAGACTTAACAAGTGACTGCAGTTGGTACCTTTTATTCAGCAGCTGAGGCATGAGTTCAGCCAAGAGATCAGGGATGGTTTCTTAATGAAAAACTAATTTCTTAGTTTGGCTACTGTTGCCCTGGGGACAGCTGCAACCTCTCCAAGTTAGTATGGGCGGAACTTCCGCTGTGCTCTCATGAGAGCAATTTTCTGCTTATCCTCTTCAAATTTCTTTCTTAGCTGGGCTATGTCTGAAAGAATCACAAAAGATATTAGATAGGAGAGGTGAGAATATTGTTCTTAAACCATCTATGTTTTCAAACCTATTATCTGTGAGCAGGTAACAACTATTCAAGGTGATCCAAATTATTACTGGAAAATAAGGATGAGTAAGAAAAATGCTTCAACCTATTTGCCGTTATGTCACCAGATAACATAGAGAGAGTTAGTTAGAGAATATGAAAACATTTTGTGCATTTAACAATCTTCCTATCCCATTCTGTCTTATTTGATATTAACCATTGAGATTGAGTTCCATCTGTTTTTCAAGTGATCTACTGGAATAATTTGTCCCCCTGGAAACAGCATTTTGATTGGGGAGAGAAAGAGCAAAATAAAAAAGGATTGTTCCAGATCACATTTGATCTGGATTTATGCATATCCTCTGGCAAGTCTAGTCCCCTCAACAGTATGTATCTCCCAATAGATATCTCCAAAGTAATGTGGCCCTTTGAAGAGTGCAGCATATTGCATAGAAAGAAACATTTAAAACTCAACAATTTTAGCTTTAAGAAAAATATCTCCATGCCATATAATGAATTTTATTTTAGAGTCCAATATTTTTTTCTACTATACTTTATCTGCCAACTATAAAGGCTGTTGGGGGGTAGGATAAATATCTTCTGCCAAAGTAAACAAAGAAGTATCCAGTGATGCTGTCCTCAGTGTTATTTATAGGGCAGTAACTCTTATCACCTTAGATTGGCTACGAAGTACCTAATTTTTAAGAGGAACTTACAAGAGCTAAACTGGATCTTAACTCTTTTTTGTTCAGTAATTAAAAAAATGCTTTTATTCTGCGTAACGGAAAATTACCATTTGGAAATTACCTTGTTTTTTTTAAAATTCTTTATCTCTGAGCACAGCAAAATGCCTTTAAGTCTTCTATTAAAAAGACTTGTGTGATATATAGCTTGAATCTGGAACCCAGTTTTATTTGCTTTTTTTTGTATTTCAATTTTTAGTAGCTTCTCTTTGGTAAACCCTTCCTACAACCAACTCTTCTATTTCTCATATATATGAGAAATATACATATATACATATACAATACACACATATACAGATATCTCTCTCTGTGTGTGTCTGTGCCTGTATGTGTGTATGTGTGTATGTATGTATGTATGTATGTGTGTGTGTGTGTGTATGTATGTATGTATATATGAATGATCAGTCTATAATTTTAATGGTAGGTTTATTTTAACAGTGAGAGACAGAACAACAACAACAACAAAATCCAGAAAAACGCATTTCAAAGAAGTTATAAATTGATTTGCATTTTAATGAGTGAAATAAGTAATTGATCCCCTATCAATCAGCAAGATTTCTGGCTCCCAGATGTCTTTAATATAGGTAACGAGCTGAGATTAGGATTAATCTCAGCTTGTTACCTGTATAAAAGACACCTGTCCACAAAAGCAATCAATCAGATTCCAAACTCTCCACCATGGCCAAGACCAAAGAGCTGTCCAAGGATGTCAGGGACAAGATTGTAGACCTACACAAGGCTGGAATGAGCTACAAGACTATCGCCAAGCAGCTTGGTGAGAAGGTGACAACAGTTGGTGCGATTATTTGCAAATGGAGCAAACACAAAATCTCCCTCGATCTGGGGCTCCATGCAAGATCTCACCTTGTGGAGTTTCAATAATGATGAGAACGGTGAGGAATCAGACCAGAACTACACGGGAGGATTTTGTCAATGATCTCAAGGCAGCTGGGACCATAGTCACCAAGAAAACAATTGGTAACACACTATGCTGTGAAGGACTGAAATCCTGCAGCACCCGCAAGGTCCCCCTGCTCAAGAAAGCACACGCACAGGCCCATCTGAAGTTTGCCAATGAACATCTGAATGATTCAGAGGAGAACTGGATGAAAGTGTTGTGGTTAGATGAAACCAAAATCGAGCTCTTTGGCATCAACTCAACTTGCCGTGTTTGGAGAAGGAATGCTGCCTATGACCCCAAACATGGAGGTGGAAACATTATGCTTTGGGGATGTTTTTCTGCTAAGGGGACAGGACAACTTCACCGCATCAAAGAGACGATAGATGGCGCCATGTACCAAATCTTGGGTGAGAACCTCCTTCTCTCAGCCAGGGCATTGAAAATGGGTCGTGGATTGGTAGTCCAGCATGGCAATGACCCAAAGCATACGGCCAAGGCAACAAAGGAGTGGCTTAAGAAGTACATTAAGGTACTGGAGTGGCCTAGCCAGTCTCCAGATCTTAATCTCATTAAAATCTGTGGAGGGAGCTGAAGGTTTGAGCTGCCAAATGTCTGCCTCAAAGCCTTAATGACTTGGAGAGGATCTGCAAAGAGGAGTGGGGCACAATCCTTCCTGAGATGTGTGCAAACCTGGTGGTCAACTACAAGAAACGTCTGACCTCTGTGATTGCCAGCAAGTATTAGGTCAGGTTTTGCGAAGGGGTCAAATACTTATTTCACTCATTAAAATGCAAATCAATTTATAACTTTATTGAATTGCGTTTTTCTGGATTTTTGTTGTTGTTATTCTGTCTCTCACTGTTAAAATAAACCTACAATTAAAATTATAGACCGATCATTTCTTTGTCAGTGGGCAAACGTACAAAATCAGCAGGAGATCAAATAATTTTTTCCCTCACTGTTGCTCATAATCTTTCAAAATTTTGGTCATTATTAGTGCTTATAGTGCTATTAGAGTAACTTGAATATTATTTTTAAGGGATAATGGGGTTCCACACTGTCCATAATTTACTGACTTAAGAAGCAGAACAAATGAGAACAAACTCTCTCAGTTTCAATTTTCCTTCTCTCACCTCACCAAAACAATGTATGTTTTCACTGCATCATCACTTATCACTCAAATTTTTGAAAATGATATTAACAACTTTTAGTTGTTGTCCAGGTTGCCTACAAAGGGACTATGTTACCTAAACAACACAATCTGATGTTATCCAAACTACGCTCCTTTATAATTAGGAAATGTGCTATATCCTAGAGAGCTAGTTTAGTGTAGTGATCAAGACATCAGGCTGAAATTTGGGAGATTGAGTTCTATTCTTGCCTTAGAAACAGTATCTCAGCTCCAGGCCAGTCATTATCTCTTAGCCCTAGGAAGCAGGTAATGGCAAACCACTGCAGAAATCTCTGGTGTTATTACCAGATGAGGTAGCCTACATTCTATATCTGTGCATCTGAAGAATTTTGCTTGATCTGTTGAAATTTATAATATAATTTTCAGCTAATTTTTCTAATTAACAATATTATTTCAAATGTTATTTCTGTCTTATTGGATATTCCACCCCAATAGTTTTCTTCTGCAAATTTGATAAATGTTCCTTACAACTGTTCATCCAAGTGATTAATAAAAAATGTTGCCTGAATCTTATGTATGAAACAGTTCATGAAAGGCAAAGAACTCACGTTCTCTCTTGGTTTCACGATGTTGCCAAGCATAGAAATTGAGCAGTTCCTTGCGTGCTCTCTTGCGTTTCTCTCTTTCTAGGGCCTGCAAATTGGCTGCTTCTGTCCATGGAAGGCCAGGCTTTCGGCCTTTCCTTGTCACTTTCACCCACCCTTCCTTATCAGGAATACCTTCTTCCTTTTCAGCTTTGGCTTCTTCCTGTTCCAGGAATGTGAAAGAAAAAAAATCTCAAGTTTGATGTCATACTTGATTTCAAGAAGTGTTTACAATCCAGAAGGCCATTCTTAACTTGAAGAAATCCCAGTTTTGTGCAAAGTGAGCTTTCTTATAATAGCAGTTTTGTTCTCAGGAAATGTGGATAATGTAATTGTCCAAATAACCCCTTTTTAGACATGTGATACATGTTGGGGAGAAAATGCCCTGGCCAAGTTCAGTATGGTGGACACAATGTGGTACAACAACCATAGATAATGTATTGAAAAACCACTGTAATTTTTGGATTGAAGACATTTATATTATCACTTTACATCCCACTTTGCTTTTCTCTTCTGCCTGTTTACGTATTCTCAAATAAACTTTGTGAGATAATGTGCTCAGACAAATAATGACTAGTCCAAGATCACTCAATGAGCTTTCTGGCTGAGAAGAACTAAACTCCACCTACACATTTTAATCACTGCAGCATGCCAGCCATTACTAATCCTAACCCATTCCAGAGGAGTTGGATCAAGAAAAGACTCTTTGAAGACAGGCAATATTTCCCAACAACAATTATGTCCTTGGTTGCTTTACCTTTGCAATCTTTTGATCATAATTTTGCATGAAAGAGTCAACTTCCGTCTTCAGCTCAGCAGGATCCACAATTGAGGCTGCGTATCTAGCAATCCATTCTGAAAAGTTAGAACAAAGTAATCAGTAACTTTGTAGTGCAATTCTCAAGATATAAAAAGAGGGGAGAATCCTTTGAGAATCTGGAAATTTCTCTTCATCTATTCTGAACCAGATTCAGTGTTGTAGGACAAACTGAACTACCGTGTTTCCCCGAAAGTAAGACTTACCCTGAAAATAAAACCTAGCTTGCTTTTGGGGGGGACCTAATATAAGCCCTACCCCCAAAATAAGCCCTAGTTTGGGGGCAAGGCGCTTGCCTAAAAATCAAACTAGGGCAGGGGTGGGGGGTGGAGCTTATCATTGCATCCAGGCCTCCCATGGATCGAGACTTGCCTCGCTGGCCCACGTCTTCTGCGGCTGAAGGAGCAGCTTCATTCTGCGTCTGAGAATGGAGCTCCAGCCTGCATTTCGCAGTCAGAGGCCTTTCTGGAAGGTCTCTGCAGCAGAGAGCCAAGCTACAGATTCAATCCATAGCTCAGTTCTCGGCTGCAGAGGCCTTCCGCAAAGGCCTCTGACTGCGAAATGCAGGCCGGAGCTCCATTCTCAGCTGCAGAATGAAGCTGCTCCTTCAGCCACAGAAGAAGTGGGCTGGCTGGGTGGGGCTGTTGGTGCTGTCACCGCGAGGTGAGTGGAAAAGATTCCCCCTGAAAATAAGACCTGGTGCCTCTTTTGGAGGCAAAAAAATAAGACCGGGTCTTATTTTCAGGAAAACATGGTTTATCTAAGCATAAAGGTTTATGTTTTATAATATTTTAATTACATCAAATAAACCAACAATATAAATACATTCACCCACTCAATATGACAGCCAGTGGGGATATAGTGCTGTGAGGCTGGATTGCCTTTAGGGAGATCCAGGTCCTAATCCTCCTTTAGTCACAAATACTGGCTTGGGGCCAATTCATGCCTAACTCACAGGACTATTCTGAGAAAACAACAGGAAGGAGGAGCATTATGCATGCTGCCTTGAGTGCTTGTACAAGAGGTTGAATAGAAATCTAACAAATACATGTGATTTAAGATTACTAAAGATTAAAGAAAAAACATCTGGGCATTTATATCATAAGCAGCAATGCCAAAAAATGTTAATCAATTTGCCTTGTCCTTTTATCATACACCTACACTCACAGAGAAGCTAATTCCAATATGTAACAGCAATCCACCATTGGAAATCAGTTTTATACTGCCAGTGTTATATAGTAATTATTTTGGTCATTCCCGTTTGCAAAAAAATCCCAAACCTTAGTAAATTCTAAATACTGGGAAAATACCCAGGATATTCAGTCTTGATATACAGTGAGAAATCTTACATTATCAAATTATTAAATCCAAAATATGACAATAAGAGATGTCAAATTATGTGAGTCAGTCTATTGAACTGCATCTCCAATAGCTGGGCAATTGCAGTCAACTGTTATTGAATATTCTCTGAGATGTCCAGCTACTTTAAATGAGAGCCTGCAGATAGAGCCAAGTCTGAAGGGCTTGTTTAAACAGGGCAATGTTGAAGGACATGCAAATCTTGCGGAAATGGGGTTCCAGAAGGCAGGCTCACTTCCTGATAGGGTCCCACCAGATAGCACTATTTAATTGATGGGACTCAGAGCATTGTAATTCTGTCAGCAAGAGGTAAGTGGTCTTTCAGATGACCAGACCCTAATGCTGGGGATAACCAGCACCTTGAATTACATCTGGAAACCTACTGATAGCCCATGCAGTTCATAGACCAACAGTATGTCATGGAAATAACAAGGAATGTCCATCATTGCCTGCAATACATTTTAGACCAAAATCAAAACCTCTGATTTTGACATAAATAAAACAAGTCTTAGGTAAGCTAAAATTTATTTGGATTTTCAGTTAGGAAAAATATGATTAAGAAGAACGATTTACACTTTATCAGGCCTCTTTATTTTTATTAATGTTACTTTAAGCAAAGGTACTTGCTATTCAATAACTTCCTTTGTGTCAAGGCTACCCTTCAAGCTGTTTGTCTGTTGGATTTAATTTTACCTGTTTTGTTTGTTTGATAAAGGCACTGCCTAACTCCAGACTGATACTGGGCAGCTCATAATGCAAGCATAATCTTATACCAGTAAACAGATAGTATATCTGGTAAACCCATAAACAGCACACAACCAACATGAACTACAATTATCCTAGCCCAGAGCTGGGAGAAGAGCCAGGTCTTTAAGACCCTCCAGGGTGGGAGTCATCCAGATTCCAGGAAGACAACACATTCCAGGAGGGCAGGCACAGTGACAGAGAAGGAATGGTACTTAAAGCCTGTTGATTCTGTCGAAGGGAGCTAAGTAGTTCCTCCAGTGACCAGTCCCTATGCCATGAAGAGATTTATAGGCAATAACCAGCATCTTCAACCATCCAGAATCATTAATTGAAAAACAAACAGCCTTTTAGCTAGTGTACGTATTTTATTATATTTGCATTTCATTTTTCACTGCTCAGAACTCAAATCCTTTCTGTATTTCCATTCCCTTTTTGATTTTCATTCTAAATGTTTTATCATAAGTCAAATCAGGCAAAAAACAAATCAGAAGTCTGAAATCAAATGTGTGAAGAGAGTTCTGTCCAATATTTCTTAGTTTAGGGACTGAGTACAGCCCCTAAATGTAGACTTCTGTATGCCAGGCTTAGAAAAGGAAAATGTGTAGCATTTGTGCTTAACTTACTGTGAATGCCAGTCTGCACAGGATGGCTCTCTGAAGATATTATATAGGGCCCTTGTAGTGATGAGGATTTGGCAGCCTGTACCCCAGCAGGTCTTTTGAATACCACATAAGCTACTTGGAATCCCTGTGAAGCAAGAAGCATTTTGTTTCAGGTTTCACTTACATGTGACCCAAAAACTAAGGGCGATAGCTGCCATAGAGATAGCTGCTCCAGCCTCATCCTGACTGTTCATACGCCATTATGATATTTTTTCCCATCAATATTTCACACATATCTAAAATACAAGTCAGCCCCTAGAATCAATGTCTATCTTGCCTGAGATTAGTTGCAGGTTGTTCTCTCACATATAGGTCTGGAAATACTTATGAACCCTTGTCTAACCTAGAACCCAGAGAAAAAACTCAGCTAAATATGATATTGCACATTAGTTGTTAAAATAAGTCAGGTCCAAAAATTGCATCTTAAACAAGGGCCTTGCCTCTGCCTCCTTTAAAGAATCAAGCAATCAGCCTTCAAAAATTATCTAGGATAATCCAGATTATAAGATGAGCACAGCCAAACGGAAGCAATCTAGAAAGGGACCCAACTCCTTTCAGCTAAAGCTACCACAACAGTGCATAGTAAGTTTGTTAGTCTAAAAGATCTTGATGCACAACATAAACACTACCTGATTATTTCATAAAGGAATCAAGGACAATGTGAGGGATAAGGCAATACTTGACCATCATAATGAAACATTTCCTTTGGTCTTTTTCAAAAGTGTTCATTTGTCCCTCTTAAAAAGGTAACACCACAGCTTCCTTCATCGTGCTATTCTCCTCCACATTCCCAATTTACCAAGGGTATCTTGTTATTGAAGAATTTGGTCCTGGGTGTTTCTGTCCCATCTCCTGGCTTTGGCCTTTCACACATCTCCACAGATTGTACAGGGCAAAAGTTGGAGAACAGCCTTGATAAACATTCCTAAAAGAAAAAAAAAAGATTTCAGCATAATTCATGGCATAGTTAAAGAGTGGACATTTCTGAAAAATGAAATGGTTTCTTCTATTTTGCCCAACATTTTCAGCTATCAGTAGCAGGCAGGTTACTGCTCACATCTTTCTTCTCTTCAATCAGGGCTGCATAGCTTGAGGACCAACTCATGAATGTGGCCTTTGAAAATCTTTCATATTGGTTCCAGAATCCTCTAAAAGTTTCCATGCTTATATAATTTTTAATATGAGAGAAGGGGGAAATTATAAAATAAATGGCTAGATATATTACATATATTTAATTGTATTTATTTTTATTCCATTTATCCTGCTCACTATTTTTTATGCCTTAATTTTTGGACTCCAGCAACCAACATGTCATTCAAAAAGTCAGCATGGCCCCCTGAAAACTGTGTATTCTTTCTTAAGAGCTCTTACATTCTGTACCTTTCTTCTGGAGTCTTAGCATACTGCACCTTTCTTTTGGCAGTAAGCCTGATCACAATTATGAGATAGAATTAACTCTGTCTTTCATATGGATAGGGGGCGGGGCAGAGCGAAAGACGCCTATGTATTCCTTTAACTATACTACTTCTTTATTTGCTCAATTTTTTAAAAAAGTAAACTTTCTCTTAGCAAAGATTTCTTCATATTTTAGTTGGACATTCAGCCCAACCAATGCTGCTAATATTTACAATCAGTTGTTCCATACCTGATGTTCTCAATGTTAATATCTGAGCTACGGAAACTGTGGGCACCAAGTTAGAGGGACTATGTTAGGCAGAAGTTCAGATAGATTCAAATAAGATCAATTAACAGAATGAAAAAGATAACAACTTTTCACCAGCAGACTTATATTCCAATCAGAATGTTATTCATAAAAATCCAATGTATATTATCTTCTCAAAGTTATCTTGTTACTGACATTTGTAATATCTCTGTTCTGAATGTCAAAATCCCCATAGCTTATATAATCTTCCCCTCCTTCCCCAAATAACTCACCTCTGTACAATATGGAGGAATATTTAGGACAAAAAGTGTTCGGTTTTGAGGCCTCTTGGGATCTCTGCCCTCTCTGACTTTGTGTTCTTTCACAAAGAGATAATGAGGTGACTGGTGCTTCTCAGAAAACTTGACTGGAATAGCTAAAAAGGAAGAAAAGCATTTTCTAATCAAGTCACTTCAGGGAAGAAAAACTAATATTGGTGAACATTTCATAAATGAAAAAACAATCACCGCAGGTGCTGTCACAATTATTTCAATAAATAGAATACTTTGCCCCTAAACAAAATTGGATCAGTTTCTCTGCAACAGGTAGCAATTCTGAAAGATAGTCTAAGACAGCTTTTCTCAACCTGATGCCTTTCATATTGTTGAATTAGAGCCTTTCTCATCTTCAGGAAGAGAGCAGCATCCCACAAGTTTATCTGCACTAACAACTGTACTGATGAATGACTAAAGAGTGGGGCAATGATTATAATGCAGTATTGCAGGCTGACTCTGCCCACTGCCAGGAGTTTGATCCTGACCGGCTCAAGGTTGACTCAGCTTCCATCCTTCAGAGGTTGGTAAAATGAGGATCCAGATTTTTGGTGGCAATATGCTGACTCTGCAAAACACTTAGAGAGGGCTGTAAATCACTGTGAAATGTTATATAAGTGCTATTATTATTGCTAAATGCTTGAGGCCATAGAGATAACGAGGTGACTGGTGCTTCTCAGAAAACTTGACTGGAATAGCTAAAAAGGAAGAAAAGCATTTGCTAATCAAGTAACTTCAGGGAAGAAAAACTAATATTGGTGAACATTTCATAAATGAAAAAACAATCATTTGTAAAGAAGGAAATGTTTTATTACTAGGTCTGTATGTGACTGTACAAAGTAAGATAGGTACAGGCTTATTTACTTATTTTTCTTTTGTGAAATATTTATTTTTGCATTTTAGTTTGTTTGCTAAATCCTTTTAAGAGGATTGGACTGATTAAACAAGCATTTCTGGGAAAGAGACGGGCTCTCTCTTAACTAATAACACTTTTTCTTGAGAAATATTTTTAATTTCACTGATTCTTGATTAGACGGGGGGGGGGGGGGGAGACTTCCTGAAGCAAGAGAAGCCCAGGCAGGCTTTTCTCTCCATACAGAGAACATTAAAATTCAGAAATTGAAATGCATATAAATATACATGTAAGATCTGTCTCCACTTTTACAGATATATTTGCTGCATCTGTCCACCTTAATCTTCATGGACTCCAGACAATTGTAAACTATTTTTGCTGAACTGGAGTGGGGAATATGGATTACATGAATCTCTAATGTCTCCTTTCCACTTTATGTCTATTTCTGTACAGGCAAATATTTAAACAGAACCACTGCAAATGAATAAAATAAATGTTTAATTGAGCAAAGCCTTTTTTTGTATCTATGTATCAAGAATGATTGAGTACATTAGAAGTTTACTAGTTGGAAACACGAATGCAGAAAATCTCACATTGTTGAGAACCTGTATAAATTGCAGTGAACACAAATGCTATATGAGGCAAAAAATACACATTTGAAAATTGATCAAAGATTACTGTTTTTTATAGGAAAAAGGAGTGAAACATTGCAAGTTATTAATAAATAGTGAGAAACTAGAGTAAGTAGATGATTTTGGGTAAATTTGACAAAATGTTTACTAACAGGAAAATACAGAAGTGTTCAGACACACAAACACTGGAGAAAATTAATAGACAATAAGTGCCTTTTGCCAGGAATGGATGTTTTTTTTGAAAGAGGTAACTATGGATATGTATAAAAGCACGTTTCTGTCCATTTTGCTACATATAAGTCAAATCTGAGTATGTCATTAGAAATGTGAAAATAATACTGAATGAAGTGAGAATGGGATACTAAGAAATATTTATAGTTAAAACAAGAAGAGACAAAGTAAAACCTGGATATTGAATGAACATCAATATAAATGTGAGTTACTAATGAGAAAAGTATGTTAAGTGGTTCGATCTTACAGAGAAAATGAAAGAAAACTGAACTGAAGCAAATATATGAATGAGCAATGGCTAGATGAAGGGGGAAGAAAAGAACAAGAACATGGTGATGGATAGAATTGATATCATTTTCAAAACAAGACAGACAAAAGAGGATGTATGATAGTTTTGGTGGAAACAGGAAGAATTGCAAGGATAGAAAGGCACTGGGAGCAGCATCTGCAGGATCCCATCTCACAATGGTGGTGTGAGGAAAATAGGAGGAGGAAGGAGTATTATATATGTTTACTGCCTCAAGTTACTTATAAAAAATAATAAAGGTGGTACAAAAATAATAAATATTGTGCTATTGCACCACATCAGATATTTGGGCAACTACGTAATTCATGTGAAAAAATGAATGGGATTTGCATCACAATACTACTCCATTGCTTTGGTCAGTCTGAACCCCTCTGCCCTCCTTGCAGATGTTGCTTGATTTAGTTATCTTTTTTATCTCGTGCTTCATTTTACTGATTTACAATTTCTTACATCTTTTTGCACTTTATGTAATGCTGCTAAAAAGTGGAAGCATATTCTTTTGTGGATATTTATGTATATGTATGCATTTACTGAATACTCAGATCACGTGAAATCAAAATTAATTTCGATTCCCCGTCTAAGCTACTTCGCAAAAAGGTCAATTTATTGAATTACTGCCTCCATTATTTCCTCCTGCAGAAAACCAGTTTCCAACTACAAGCAGAAGCGCAACACTCTATTGACTTATGTGCAGGCACTTTGCATCTATATATACATTATATATGCCCCATTAGCGAAAGAAACAAAAGGAGTATCAGCACATTGTCAAAACGAGGTCGGAGCCCATTGAAACCGTAAAGCAACCGAGAGCAGCTTCGGCATTAACAGAGATTTTCTTTCTTCATCTCCCAGCCCTATTTTCTACTCACCTGTGTATCCCAGCGTGGCGACAACCTCTCCATTTTTCACACACTTCGAGCTGGAGGTCGCCATTTTGGCTCGGAGGAAGTTGCGTCATCTTTCGCAACTGCTGAGTATCGCGAGGTTTCTTGGGACCAATCGCTTTCCCGGGAAAATCAAAGGGTGGTTTCGTGTCTGCATCTAGGCAGCCTTCGGAGGGCGGGGGGTGTTTTTGTCAAACGCGTCTGTTTGCCCGGAACGAAGTCCCACAAACCAGAAGGGGTTTTATTTCCGAAGACTCAGCCCTATGCGTGTACCTGAGTTGGGTTAGCCCTGTGCCGCCGTTGTCTTTTTTTTTTTTTAGAAGGTTTTAGGGTTGTGATGAGATTGCAGTGTTTCTCAACCTTGACAATTTTAAGGCATGTGGACTTCAACTCCCAGAATTCCACAGCCAGCAATGCTGGCTGTGGAATTCTGGGAGTTGAAGTCCACATGCCTTAAAATTGTCAAGGTTGAGAAACACTGAGATAGAGGCAAGTGACATATGCTTTGCCAAGCCCCCTTTTCAAAGCCTGTTTTCACATTCATGAAATCTTCGTAATCGGCGAGGAAAGGGGAGATTCTGGAAATAGAAAAGCTCAGAAGCAAAAACCACACGGGAAATTAGTTTCCAGGGTTAATTTTGGAGCTGAAAATTTCTAGTGTAGTGTCCAATGTTACATCGTTTTTAAAAGCATCGTAGGAAGCCCTCCATGTGTGTGAAGGATCCACAGAGGAATCTTTCGGTTTGATAGGATGGGTGTATCAGCATATGGAAGATTTTCCTTTCAAAATGAGGACAACTTCTTGGTAATAATATGGAAGGGACTTGCTGTTTTTTCGGCTGACTTCCCGATGTACTCACGAATCATAGGATTTCTGATGAGTCTGATCCCTGATCAACTTAAATCATGGTTGGCTAGGAGCTTCCAGCTAATTGGGGTAAAAATGAGCCAATATCCTCAGTTTAAACAAAGTTTGCATTGTAATGGAATTGTAAATTCGTTCTGTAGTGGAAAAAGTTAAGCATCATATATTCAGGGTATATCTCATGTAGTTATTTTAATCACCATTATTCTGATTTCTCAAACAACTCCCATCAAAATCTTCCTGAATATGAAAAGCAATATCTAAGGGTGAAGTTGATTTGCAAATTTAAAGTAAAAATCATCTAAAAGAGTTCCTCATCCATAGGAGAGTACTGAACATACCCACATCCTTAAGTAGACTTATGCTATCAGCTGTTGTTTAGAGGCACACCCAAAATCAAATACTACAAATATCATGTTTTGCATCTTTAAAAAAAGTAGAATATTCTCTGTATAACAAGTACAGTATTTATTCAGAAACATATTACATCATGTCCTCTGGTTAACCTTCTCTGTAACCAACCCCACTGCTGTTAATGAAGGACACACACAAGGAATTGCATTTCTGCACAAAAAAATACCTATTTGTTCAAAAGTACATTTCCCCAGTAAGAGTAAAATTAGTAATCCAGATTAGCAAATTCCATAGGGAACAATGATTCATATCCTGAAGTGATATAATTTGACTGCCACATCCTTGTGAAATTAGACCCAGACACTACAGAATGAAGAACAATTACTGAGCATCAGGCTTACAGTGGAATAAGCTATTATTAAAGGATTTTAGCAACATGGAAATGTTTAAATCTTGCAGTTGAGAGAACAAAAATTCAATGTCTAAGGAGTTATCCAGTGCTATTTCACTGTGTTATCATGGTGGGTTTTTTTAAAGATCTTTTTAATTAACAAAAATTTGTACATCAGGTAAAATTGCACATGGACATAAAATACATCTTTGTTAGTTTTAAATAACTTCTTTCACTGCCCACCCTTCTCTATTTTATGTCAAATAATTCATTTAAGGTGCCCTCACCACTTTTTCATAGAAACAGTGCTACAAGGCAGCAGCAGAATCTTATCCAGAGAAAAGGACTTAAGAGATACAATATATACAAAAGTGTTAACTCCTTAAGAACAGAATGGGCAATGTTTTCTATTGATATTTCAAATAACAGAATAACAGAGTTGGAAGTGACCCTGGAGGTCTTCTATTCCAACCCTACTCAAGCAGAGTAATCCTCAACTGACAACAGTTCATTTAGTGAATGTATGGCATTGAAAAAACTGACTTATGATAGTTTTTCACATTTACAACCGTTCCGGCATCCCCATGGTCACGTGATCAAAATTCAGATGCTTGGCAACTGATTCATATTTATGTTAGGAGTGTCCCGATTGGAGTGTGATCCCATTTTGCAGCCTTCTGATAAGCAAAGTCAATGGAGAAGCCAGATTCACTTAATAACCATGTTAGTAACTTAAGAGCTGCAGTGATTCACTTAACTGTGGCATGGAAGGTCGTAAAATGGGGCAAAACTCACTTAACAAATGTCTCACTTAGCAACAGAAATTTGGGGTTCAATTGTGGTCGTAGGTCAAGGACTACCTGTCCCATTTCAGACAAATGGTTGTCCAATCTCTTCTTTAAAACCTCTAATGTTGAAGCACCCACAACTTCCGGAGGCAAGCCATTTCACTGATTGTTCTAACTGTCAGGAAATTTCTCCTTAATTCTAGGTCAATTCTCTCCTGGATCAGTTTCCATCCATTGCTTCTTGTCCTACCTTCAGGTGCTTTGGAGAACAGCTTGACCTTCTCTTCTTTTTGGCAACCAGAGATATTGGAACACTGTTATTACCAGTATGTCACCCTCTAGTCCTAGTTTTCATATTTAACAATCAACTGCTAAGTGACCAGCTGTTTTGTGGCCTGAGAGACAAATTGCATTGAATTAGCTTATGGACAACTGTTTTAGAGCCAACATCTCAGGAAAACGTAACAAAATAAAGGTCTGACTTGAATTCTATTGACATCAGGGCTACCAGAACTATTTGTGATTCTAAACCATTGCATAAAAACAGCTTGTAGTATCATTATCTATGTTGTACTGTTTAACTGGAAGATATTTTCCTTTGCAGTATAGATCTTATCAAAAATTGGAAAAAATATAAATACTAGATAATGAAGCTAAGTACTTTACTGGCATTCAAACAAATCCAATAGAAAAAGCACTTCTGTGTAACATCCTGAAGATCACAACAATATTCCTCCATCAACATATTAACAACATGAATACATGGCAATGAAAGTAGTGTAGAATATGTTATATACTTATACATATTCTCACTCCTTCATAATCTCTTCCATTAGTTGCTGCATGAACATTTCATTTGCTACTTACTTCCTTTTTACCAATTTTAGAGTAGCATACAGCTATTATCAATGCCTGGGAGTACAGTATTATAGCAAGTCTCTTCCACAGACACAGATACATTGAAATGAAATGTTTATTAATTGTATAAAGCAAAAGGGTCACCATTTTTACTAAAAGAATGAAAGCCACAATAAATGCTTATCACACCTTTAACTAGGTGTACTTTTAACTGGCTGGATACTGCAGTGGGGAGGCAGGTGAAAAAAAGGAAGAGTTATATGGTGATACAGATTTCAGTAGAGAAAGGGGAAATTATTCCATTAGAAATATTGGGACAAAAATTCCAACTATGAAAACAAAACAAACACATTTAGGGGAACACTACTGTACAGGAAAGGTAGCAACTGTAGAAAAACAAAGGTTTGAGTGCAGTCCAACACAACAATTGTGTTCCCATGTCTCCCAATTTTCCACACTCAGTTTACTAGTCCACTTTTGACTGCTACTTTTCAAAGTTTGATTTTGAACTCTGTAGGCTGCACAGTAGCAGAAGTCCCCGAGGATTTGAAGAGTGCCTTCAAGATGGTGTCAGGATCCACTTCGGCTGGGGGATTTGAAGACGTTCCTGTGTTTGTCCGACGTGGTTCAATTTCTTTCTTCACTGAAGGAGTGTCACTCAATCGACTAGGCAAAATTACAAGAAATAACATTATATTTAGCCTCCTTACAGAATATAGACTCAAGCAATAGTATTTTTTTTATATACAAGAATAATGGAAAGAAAAAGGAAGAACAAAATTAGGAGTGCCGGAATCTCCAACACCGAGTGATAATCAGGAATGAAATGGTTGCTATCAATGCTGAACTCAAATAGCTTTTCATATTTTCAGGCTGATAACCTAAGAAAAGCAAAAATTATTTACATCTTACATTTATATTCTGTCTTTAAAGATCTTTAACTTTATGAATGTAATACACTTACAGCAAAATAGGCTGGTCTGATGTGATGACATTTCCATTAATGAAAAGATTACATTTCATTGGTTGTCCTAGTGAGAAAAAAATAACAACATCAAAAGATGCAATGCTTTAAAGTACTGCTACCGCATTTCCCCGAAAATAAGCCCTATCTTGAAAGTAAACCCTACCTTGATTTTTACGCATGTGCCTAATGTAAGCCCTATCCCCAAAATAAGCCCTAGTTAAGAGCCTGAGCAACTGGCGCCCGCACAGTCCGTCTGGTTGTTTGTGGTGCCACCACAAGGTGAGGCAAGATAGGTGGGGGACGGGGCGATGTGCCCCACACCCGCTTACCTCAGGGCCCTCACAGCCAGACCTCCCATGCCCCAATACCTGCATTGCCTTGCGATGGCACCAACAGCCCTGTCCAGCAGTAGCCCGTGTGGCTGCCACCAGCCCACTTCTACAGCTGCTCACCGCTGTGTCAACTGCCGACCTCTGTTTCACTGGCAGAGGCCTCTGCAGGGAAATGGAAGCCGGCAAGTGACGCGCACGTCAACCCAGGGCTTCATTCTCGGCTGCAGAGGCCTTTCCTGAAGGCCTCTGCTGGTGAAATGGAGGCTAGGGTGATGCGCACGAGTGACGGCGAGTGGCCGCAGAAGTGGGCCGGTGGCAGCCACGTGGACTTCTGCTGGATCAGGCTATCAGTGCCGCTGCGCATGGCAAAACAGTGAAAAAAATAAGACATCCCTCGAAAATAAGACCTAATTTCCCCTTTTGGAGGAAAAAAAAATATAAGACCAGGTCTTATTTTCGGATATTAGTGATTATTCTTTCTTTCACTTTTTCCTCACTATATATTTACTGACAGAAGCA